GTCACCATAATATCAGTGTAATTGTGCAATCGTCTAAGATAACCCGTAAGAGGGTCGAATCTTACGATACGATCCCATATAAGTTATCAAAACACATTTAAGTTGGATATCTAGCTTCACGGTAGTGTTTACAAACTGACAACGAAAGCTATCGATCGGTGAGATTCGTTCCCGTGCGGAAAGTTGTTCCTACAAGGGCCACCGGTCGCTACAAAGGTATGCATCAAATAATAATCCGGCAACACCGAACTCTTTCATAAATTTCGTCGTAAATTATAAGCAGTGTTGTGTGTCGAAGTGCGTACTGCGGCGAGTGTGACGTATTGAGAGTAGCGACATTGATTGCAGCAGCAAAGAGCATGTCGCCGGTGAAAATGATAAGGGGCGCCAGTCGTGTGTGGAGCGGCAGTACGGCGCGGTCGGTTCGAGCAGCTGCGGACGAGCTCGTGTTAGTGTCGCGGATCTCCAACGGTATAACTCGCCTGCAGCGCACCATGGCTACCAAAGTCATCACACCCGAGAACTTGAATCCCAATCTTGTAAAGTTAGAATATGCCGTCCGTGGTCCTCTCGTCATCCGTGCTACGGAAATTGAGAAAGAACTCCAGAAGGTAAGTGGCTAGTTTTTTTTAAATAATAAATTATTATTGTGCTTAGGTAGGTATTACTACTACTTTGGAAATGTTTTATGTGCTGTCATCTATAAACATTTTAAATGTATTAATTACAAACTTCCATTGTTGGAATAATTTATTAGCGCAGTGAAGGTCATAAAAAAATGCCATGTAATTAAATATTGCTTACCCAGTTCGGACTGTAGGTCCAAGTACCTTCTCAAACAATGATTCGCATTTGCACCTCCCAAACAGTACATTATTGTGACAAAGAACTACATTTACTTGGCAATTTGCCTTTATTGTCTCGCTAACACTCTTTTATTGCAAATAAAAGCAAATTGGTTTTAATTATTCCCTTTTTGAAAATATTGGCTCACCATGTTGCAAAAGGAGTGCAGCACAGAACAAATTGTGCCACTAAATACTTGTCAATGGCAAGTGAGTTATCACATGCTGATGCAGGCACTCAGTAACATATTATCTTGTTTAGATACTTTTTGTCATTTTCATCATAATGATAAATTGATCTAGTTTAGAGAGCACATACTTTAAGCATTACATGGCCACATAGATACTACCTGTCACCTGTCTATCTTCCAAATTTAACCACTATTATAAATATAGGTTTCATTTTTCTTGGGTTTTTACTGTTCATATAATATCAACATGTGCCCTACTCACATACTTATTGCTACATTATTGGTTTTCATGGTCAAAGTTATACAATTTTCTGTATTTTATGAACTCACAGTAGGTTTTGTAAATATGTCACTGCTTAAAAAACTACACAAATAATATGGTCATAAATGGTGGAGCCTCTAGAATATTTCATGATTATTTAAATCATTTCCGAACAGGTTTTAACATTTGAATAAACAAGTTTACAATACACAAATTATGACTATGAAATGGGTACTACCACACAATTTGTTATGAATTTGTACAAAAAATATGAAATTTACATGTTTTACGTTTATCTTACATTTAAGTAATATACTGTCTTTCTCATAAATAATTGACAATTTTTTCACTGAACATTATGTCACTAAAATCGAATGCTGGTTATGTGTAACACACACATAAAATTGTTTCTGGCATGGATTCAGTGTGGTTTAGGGTAATGGTTGACTCAAGGCCAGTTCTGGTAGTTTAAATTATAACTACTTTTGCGATTCGCACAGTTTTATATGCATTTCGTCAAGTACTAGTGATTGAGAATGGCAGAACATATTGATGTTTCTATTTGCTATTTATAATCTCATTGTAACAAGTGACACTCAATGGGATGATACATAACTGCTATTCAATATTGCAATTATTACACATAGGAAATGAAGCTTTTGTTTTTTATCTAAATCGCATATATATATATTTATTTTTTCAAACAATTTTATCAATTTGTTTTCTTGTTTGGTTGTAAATTTCTTATCAACACAAACATATTGATGTTATTTAGACATTCAGCAGTTTATTTCCAAATATTGTGACATATAAAAACATTCACTTTCAACTTTGGATTTTCTTATACAGAAAAATGTCCAGCAAATTTGAATCCCAAATGTGATAATGTGCTCCAAACTACTCATCTGTAATTACCTGATGCAGCAACCAATGTGTTAGTATGCGTAGTGATTCTTTTGTTATATAAACTCAGTAACAGTAAGCATTTGACTCGTGGATCTCGTTTCGCTTATCTATTTTAATGAAACATAAAGCAATTGTGATATAATAGGTTTTATGTAAAGGATTTAGATTTAGAATGCAATTTTGATGGCGCATTGTTTTCATAGATTGTTTAGTTGATACGAGATAAGCTTTTGATAAACTGTTGTTGTCTTGTTATCGCACTGACAGCTATGATTATCACTATTGAATACATAATATGCGAGATTTATCTCGGCACTTACTCATAAGGGTTTGAGTGGCTTTTGTCGAATTTAGCAGATTGATTATCAATAAGTACATGACATTCGCCTACGGGAAAGTACCCAAACATTGTTTAGAAAAAACTGAAATTCTGGATATATTTATTTACTCACACAGACAGTATCGTTTGAGGACTTCCATGGTCGAGTGGCTTGCACACCAGTGGCTCCATCTCTGAGGTCCCGGGTTCAATCCCCAGCTGGGTCAGTGTACAAAACTAACTTTACTATATTGTCTCGGCTCAGGGTGTTTGTGCTTGAGTTACTTACTTCGGGATCAGAGCAATCTATCAAAAAAATATTGTGTAGTTGTGTAACATTGCATTATTGTACAAGCAATTTTTCTAAGCACCATTTTTCCACAACTGAAATAATTACTCAATATGTATTTTCTTATTGGGATACCAGAACAGGGATCTAAACTTTCCAAACAAACTTGTCCATGATGACTAGTGGAAATAATGTTACCACGAAACTAACTACATAGGCTAGACACTACTGTAATGTTGATGTCTGAATTTCACAAAAGAACGGTGTGTTTGTCAGGGCGCGCAGAAGCCGTTCAAGCAGGTGATCAAGGCGAATATCGGCGACGCGCATGCCATGGGCCAAGTGCCCATCACCTTCATCCGTCAGGTTTGAGAACATTCTCTGTTGACTTCTTTACTACTTCTTCTACTTTGATAACATTTCTTGACTCAGTATAAAAACCGTTAAATTTTTGAATACTACATAATAGTAATTTTTTTAAATTATGAAAACGCTTTATTGTTACTTGGGTGCAAGACGTGCTGTTGTGGTTTTGCTGCCATTTTTAGCTTGCCTCTGCACATAAACAAAGCGGCCCTTTCAATGCATTCTAATTAAAGCACATGACTAAAACGGGTAATAAAGCGTGACGTAATGCAAGAAACTTGATGAAGTGACAGCGAACTTTCTGTTTTCTTATCTAAAGGATAAGTTTTCTATTGGTCCCTTGTTGCTTTTGTTTTAATAAATTAATTAAAATTGTTTTAATAATTTAGTAAACACTTACTATTATACAAAACAAAATGTTTACTATTAAAAAAACAAAGAGTTTTTGTTTTAATAATATTACAACAAAAGCAAAAAGGGAACAATAGAAAACTTATCCTTTTGATAACAAAACAGAAAGTTCGCTGTCACTAAATCAAGATTCTACATATGTACATGTAGAGTATAAACATAGTAGAATAAGAACAGGTAGGACAACTCAGTACCTACCCTAATGATAGCGCGGCATGTATGTGCGCGTAACCGTGTACGGACGCACACATTCGCATAGTAATGAAATGCGCGTTGAGATTGAGACGACCAGTGTTGTGCAACGCTAGTGCACCCTTATGTTATGCAAATGTGTGCGTACAAGCCTCGCGGCGGGTCCGCACATATACAAGCCGCTGCGCTGCGACTATACTTGTTCTTATTCTACTATGGTATAAGAATAGATTCCAATTAATGCCGAGGCCGCTAGTCTTTGTGTAATCCTGTAGTACACGCGGGTAGTATGAATATTCATACTGTTATGACAGTTGAAAGAATTAGTCATTTTGATACATATCGCACCCTTAGTAATATAAGGGCACAATCCAAAAAAAGTAGATTTTTGGGAAATTTGGGAATTGATAGGGACTTAAATAATAAATGGGATCAAACTTATATAGCTCCATATTTCTGTTATATTTTTTGTACTATATGGGTCTAACTTGAAAGTGTTTTTTTAACTTGCTTGAAACTTATGGAATTTATTTATATTATTTTTTTTTTTATTGCTCTTTATAATACATTTATCAAAGAACAAATCTGCCAAATTTCATATTTATAACTTAAATAATAAGCATATTATTTGAAAAAATAGGTGTAATGTAGGAATCCAGAATCTTAATACGCGATTTCCCAAAAATCTACTTTTTTTGGATTGTGCCCTTATATTACTAAGGGTGCGATATATTGTACGACGTGCAGGTGCTAGCATGCGTGGCATTGCCGGAGCTGATAAAGACGGGCGACTTCCCTGAAGACGTAAAGAAGAGGGCCGAGGACATCCTCGACGGCTGCGGGTAAGCTCAAAAAATTATTTTTCTATTTCCGTAGATTTGGATCCGCTTACATGTCATCAACATCTTGTAGGAGATCCCTGTGTCAATAAAATTGTCTAGGAAGACCTCGATACGCGGACACGAACGGCTCGACAGGAAAAAGCACGCTCGCTATCGGCTGACAGCGAATTAACTATCGTTTCGTCGGACTTAGGGGCGCAGCGATGATTGGACGATCAAGGGAGTAGTTGGAGTGTTGAGATAATGCGGGTTGTGACCCGATCGTCATGCAGAAACTTATTTTATAGCCATAAATAACACCGAGGAGTGAATTCAGCCGCGGGGTCCGGGACGGCGGCTGGAATCAACGTGATCGTATTCTCGTTCCATGAGCAGCGGCCGGTCGGTGGGCTCGTACTCGGCGTCGCACGGCATCGAGCTGATCCGCCGCCACGTGGCGGAGTACATCGCGCGCCGCGACGGACACCCGTGCGACTGGAACAACGTGTGCCTCTCGGGCGGCGCCTCCGCCGGCATCAAGAACTGCCTGCAGATGTTCGTCAACCGCGTCGACGGGAAGCCCTCCGGTCAGTACGGCGCCCTATGCTGGGGTCCTTTGCCTTCTTGCTTTTGCCTTTGCCTTTTTTACCTTCCTCGGCAAAAAGGGCAGAGCGATAAGTCGGCCCCTCTGACGAATTTGTAATCGCGTGCGTGTATTTCGCGTTATCTTAATTCGTAATAATCTATTATTGATGGAGATATCAGTGAGCCAAGTGTCGAATAATATGTCGCCGCCGCTAAAACTACATTTTTGGTATATTGCGTCATATTGTCATAATAATAATACCCACTAACTGGTTGTCGCCACTCGAATGGTGTTCACGCACTCAGAAACTACAAATCTAGAACAACACAGACTTGTTAAGGAATTGAAAAGCCGAGAAGTTCCGAAAGAGTTAAACGTTGGTGGCGAAGCCGTCGACCTCGTTCAGTATTCGCAATTTAGTGACGATCGTTGATAGCCTACGCCGCGAACGTTTAGTCAGCGCACGTGTGGCAGCGGCCTTGCGAAGCAATTATATGTCCTCAACTGGTTGTTACGTAGGAATCGTACCTTTCACGCAGCTCTATTCCGCGTTCAGGGTGTTATTAAAAGGAGGAATGTTCCGTTTTAAGCGTGCGTAGGTAAATTTGGAACCGTGCAATTTAACGGAAAAATGACAAACTGTCATCCGAGATACTAGTTTGTAGGTCGTGTCTACGAAATGTCATCGAGTTCGATTCATAAAGACGCCTAATGGGGCCGAAGCGCATTTGTATGAGCCACGTTCGCAGGAATCCCCTTTTACAAAATTATATACTTAATGCTCATAGCATTAGCTAACTGGAGGACTATCGAAAAGTGAACTGCGGATATGAATGTGTAAATTGCGATATAAAATGTTTGATAGTTTTAAAGTGCTCTACCGCGGGGTCCTCGGTATCGATCGGCAGGAATTCTGCGTGTCTTGACTCCTTCTCGCTACCGTCGACACTGCGCGACGCGTTACATGTACTACTCACTCTATTAGCAACATTCGCGTCTCGCATTATACGCAGGACAGTTTTAGATTGACAACAGCGTATGTGCGCTACGTGTAATAGCTAAGGTCGCGTAGAAAGGTCGCTAGGCCACCCGAGTACCTACATAACTCGAGATTCGCCATTGCGAAGTCACGTCTCTCTGTGGTTGGTTTCCATTATATTTACCACACTGAAACGATTGGTTTCTTATCACTTGTTACATAGATGTCTTCGAAATGACACTACTTTTTCGTATCTAATTACGCCAATCTAAACACACTAATGTTTCGGTCTCTTTACGGTAGCTTGATCACGACTATGAGACCGTAGAACATGCGTAGGACCTATAAAGAGCCCGGAAAGTTGGTTTGTTTGAAAAAGATTGTGTACCAACCGCGAAAACTTAAGCAATCGATACTCATTACATAGATACCTATTACGAATGGTAGTGCAGTCGCTGTGTGGTCGCGCATTGCCTTTATTTGCTCATTACATATTTAAGCACCCATTATCTTTCCCAGTGTGCGCTCGAACGAGCGATGCGATAATAATAATCTCGCGAACTCCGCACATTATTTAGCTGCACACTGATAATATGCGAGACAGAGAAATCGACGTCATGTAACAAAGAAATAATATTTTGAATAGACACTAATTGCAAACATTAGGTTCGTAATTATACAGCTCGTAGTTAGTAAATTCAAATGAAGTATTATTTACTTTAAATGTAAATAATTCTTCAATGGAAATTATATTTTAAGGCAATCAATATTTGTGCATTGTTCACAACAGCCGGCTTGCTATATTATTGTTGTTTGTTTTCTCAAATGTCTTGGGCATTGTCGTGTGGACCATATTCACAAGGCCTTTGCAATCGACACATAATGATAGGATTCTTTTTTCTGTATTGTATTTTCTCTTCAACTTTTGAGGTCTTTCCATTGGTATGTTTAATTAAAATAAACGGCTAAATGAAACCAAAATATCTATCTGATTTCGAATTCAACCTTGGTAGGCACTAAAGTATTACAATAACATCTTGTTTATCTGTTTTTGTAATATTTGTTGTAACAATGAGCTCGTATGTCAAACCATTTTCAAGTGGTTCGATAACAAAATGGATATATATGCTCCGCTTACTACGAGTGGCTACAAGGCTGCCGTTTCAAGTAAATTAAGTAATACACGCGAATATATCATTTTTATAGGCATCTGAATTGTCTTGCTTTAACACTCTGTTCTTTTTCACACTTATAACTTATGTAAATTGTGTTGTCTAGTAGGTGTAGGTAGTTTTCAGTTGACGTAGATGTACACGTTCGATTAGGCCGGAAAATATCACTTGTATCCAAATTATAATTGAATTAACATCATATGCTAGCTAGATGTGTCACGCTAGGCTCTTCATGGGTGATCTCTACCCTGTTGGTAATAATGTGTTTATAATCACAAATTAGTTTATTTATTTATTATATAGACAACAAAACAGATAAGAATGAAATTGCATTGATGAGAGTTAAATACGGTATTAGAAAGTTCTCTACCAGATTGTAATTATAAATACGATGTTTACACATCATTGTACAGTAAAAAAAAATATATAAATACTTATTTTCTTCATACTTAATACAAAAGCGACGAATACCTATGTAAGAGTCCTTTAAATATTCTAGATCTTGGATCAAACATATCCCGACCGTAGTTTTTCATAGACATATAATTGTAAAACACACGTTTTTACCAAGGGGTTATAAAACTAAGTGCTATTCTTATACGTCCGCAAGTAAATTGTCTTTTTAGGTATTCGGGGATTACGCCTTGTACAGATATTTATTTTACTTAAAAGGTAAGAAAACTCAATCTCGCCATGAGATTCTTTATGCAAGTAGATATATGAGGTCTTGTCTTTTAGGGTGAACAAGCAAGGAGTTCACTTTAAACCTCTCACTACAGCCAACGAGGGTGCGACCATAACCGCATTTGTAACCAAGCATCCTGATCCTGAGAGATCTTCCCTGAACGTTTTCTGTACTATGTTTGGTTTAAAAATTGCGCTGTTTGTGATTTCGTTTTAAGAATTGTGCTATGTGTAGCTGTTTTTAAAAATTTCAGATAGAGCCTGGGGCCAACTTAGATTTCAGTTCTTCAAATTAACAAGTAGATTTAAACTTATTTGTTCTTTGTATTGTGATTGGCACCTTTTTATATTTAAATGTAGCAAAGGTTTCGGTGGTATACAATACTTTTCGAAAATTACTGTCTTTTACATAAATATTTATTGCTTACTTTAAATATGTAACGAATTAAAATTTTTATTGATTTTTAATAAGATTAGTCAAAACTTCTATATTAACTGGGTTTGAAAAGTTTGCTACAATATTTCTTTTGTCTTTACTTGTGTAAATGACAGAGAAATGTCAAGATTCTAGCCCCATTGGTTTCGATGAGTGAACCCGTCAATCAATATATACATGAAATGAATGAAAATTATGTGGGAGGTCATGTTTCGTAAAGGCAATAATTTAAGATTTATGTTATTTCTTACAAAACTAAATAATTGCTATTAATTATAGTCTCTAGCTTGGTTATGGTGGCGGACAAAATTGCTCGAAATGAAATGAATAGGTTTTTATTTGCATAAAATAAATAGTATATGGTTTAATAAAAGTTCATAAATAAGTCACCAATTAGTGCAGCATATCTTACTGATCGCCGCACATGCAAAAATTCAATCTTACGTAACACAATGATATTATTTCTTAACTTAATCTTATAACTCAGTCTTATAAATTCATTAAATGTATTCTAAAAATTCTTTGACGTTGTAAAAACAATTTTATAAATGCCATTTCTCTAGTTTTCTACATTTATGTGGCCTGTGTTTTCTACACAGTTATAGATTTTTTTAAATATGTAGTCCGAGGACAACAGTCTAGCACTAGTCTATCAGATTTCCTTGTACGTCTAGGATTTATTACTATTGCTCTTTTGAATAGATCTAATCTTTGTTTTACAAATTTTCATAACTCTATAATATACATATACTTGCTATAGTTAATATTCACAGCTAAGGGGAGAGACTCCTACAACTAAACAAGGGATCATAAATCGCTTGTAAATACTTCTTTTGAGCTAGGCAAACTTTATCAGTTGTTGCACGGTTACCCCAAACTATACATAGCGAATAATTGATGCTATATAACAATGATAAGCAAACAAAGCCATTTCCTGAGATATTGTTTTAGACAGCCTAGCTAACACACTCATTGATTCTATTACATACATTATCAATATGACTATTATAATTAAGATATTTGTCTAAACATAGTCCTAAAAATGTTTTCTTATCAGCTGTAGAAATCGCTTCATTCTTATAATGTACAGTCAACAGCACATCAAGCCACATATTCACGTATCTTGTTCCGTTGCACTGGAGGCGATTTTCAAACGAAAATGTGTAGTCTGATGTGCTGTTGTCTGTACATTTAGATTAACTTGCGACGTTCTTTTCAAAGCATACTGAATGTGTCTGTGTTTGTCAAATTTGCATGCAAATTATTATTGTTAAGCCATTTCATTACAGATTCTTTAGTAACATCAATGTCATTTTAATATTCGTTTACACACTTTTTATTAGATGTCACTACAATAAATAAGATGTCTGGAAATAATACACATTTATGACTTAGCACTTTAGGTAGATTATCAATGTATAAAGTAATAATAAGGAGCCCAAGTCACTCCCTTGTGGAACACCAAATTTGCTATGTTTGTAATCAGAGTTATGAATTAATTCCTTATTATGATCGCCTATTGCATTCATTTCGACACTCTGCATTATATTCTTCAAGTAAGAATCCAACCACAGTAGCGGGATGACCAAAATAACAGACATACTCTAGAATGCTACGGACAAGATGGTCAGGATACTTTGAGGCAGTTTGAAACTCTTGGTGCACCTTGTTATAAAGCACTTCAATTACTTGAAGTGCTTTGTTCTGTGTTCTATGAAGGCATAAAGTTTCCCTTAGTGTTGATATCCCTGTCTCACGGCCAAGTTTAACCTCTGTTATAGAAACCAAGGCGTCATTAAAATATAAGTAATAAAATTAAAATCATACAAGTAGTGGCCAGTTGGCCAGATCACCCTTGCTGTATACGCTGTGGCTTGATGTCCTGTTTTTGAATGTATGCACTACACTAGGCATTTGTCATACAAATCTGCAAGAGCTAACAGTCATCATATTGACTATGAATTAGAAATGGACTATGGAAGGTAGAAAGCGTTCTAGAGCTAATTTACGAGTTTTGCTTACACCACCTCAAACTCCAACATAATTACTGTATATAGATTTTGCGAAGCGTAATAAACTATAAGATATGTGTACCTCAGTTTCCTATAAACGGAGATAAGTTTTCTAAGACGTGAGGGCGTGAGCTCTATTTGTGCACGCCGTTTGAGTCTGCTCTCCAGTATCACCCCGAGTTATCGTACACTTGTCCCAACCAGTGACGGTTTGGTAGGGAAGATTGGAAAAAACTCCACTTGTCCCCACCAGGGAGGACAGCTGGTAGGGCCTACTGGAATAGGCCATATTAGCAGCATACAACTGTACGATAGGAACAGTCTTAAACTGCGGAGAGGCTTCATTGAAGTGAGTTGGACTTTAAAGTACCGCAACAATGGATTACAGTGTGACGGCATCGTTAGTACGAGGTTTAATGAAAAACAATTTAATTTTTCCATTTTGATCATCACTTCGTAATGTAAATATTTTACATGGAGCAGTCAATATTAGGCGTTGACATTAAGCACACGATATTGTTGCGATGTCACCGCGGTAACGCCGTACCAGCTCGACTTTGAGATTGTTCAAACTGCCTCCGTGGCCGAATAGTTACCACGCTGGACTGCCACGCAGAGGTCCCATGTTCGATTCCCGGGTCGGGGGAAATATTTGTACCTATGACCTACATTTATTTCTCTCGTGAATTTGGGTGTAATTTGTGGTTGTCTTTGTGTGTGTCCATGGCATCCACGACACAGGGTTTGCCTAGTGCAGGGCTATGTTGAGTGTGTGCGTTATTTGTTCGTCTGGGATGATATATGACGTGTCACGTTGCGGGTGTTGCAGCCGTGATGATCCCGATCCCGCAGTATCCCCTGTACACGGCTTCGCTGGCGGAGTACGGGCTCGAGGCGGTGGGGTACTTCCTCGACGAGGAGACGAACTGGGGCCTCGACGTCCAGGAGCTGCAGCGCGCCTACGAAAAGGGCTCTGAGAACAGCAGCGTGCGCGCCATCGTCGTCATCAACCCCGGGAACCCCACCGGACAGGTACCGCTGGGCCCTCGGGCCGCGACCGGTCTGCTCCGCAGGCTCCTACACTTTTGGGCTCACCGCCCACTTACGCAAGATAAAACATTGTAACGCCTACCGCCACAAAAAATAACTGAAACACGTATTGTATTTTTTATATTACAGTGCGGCCGCCGAGAGAATGCATATTTCACATCAGTCAGTCTGTCACTTGGACATGACTAGTGATGAGCAATATTTAACATTTTTTATATACTCGATACTATTTTTATGTGGCCCACGAAAAAAGTACTTTTTTATAAGTTTTACTACTTGTTTTTATTGCGTCTGGTTACTTATATTATTAATAAAGTAATAGTAAGTGTAACTGTACGTCGTGCATCCATTTATGTAACTTTTGATAGCTGGAATTCTAATCAATTAGTTGCTGTGATTACTCACAAATTTGTTAACTTTATGTGTGTCGTAGTATATATACCTCTGTAATGTAAAAAATAAGTATGGAGGTGTGTTAGACTTGGTGTTGAGCAATCAGAGCGAAAGTCGAGTGATGGTGGAGAGTAGCACGGAGCTAGCGCCTCCCGACGCGAACCACCCGGCGCTTCTAGTACAGATTGAGTTCTCCACCCCGCGCGTTCCTTGATAGCTTCGTAGGCCTCTTCTAAAGATTTTTGTAATTTATATGCGTATTATATGAGACAATTTATATGAATGCATTAACGTTGACGAAGCATTAAATACATTACATAATGAAATGAATAAATATCTACTTAAATATGTACCAATTAAAAAGATTAGGGGTTATTCACGTTACCAATGTCCATGTTCGTATACAACGGAATTAAAACAGAATATAAAAAATAAAATAAAAGTCTCTCTTATATTGGACAAACAAAGCGAAGTATTTGTACCCGCGTCAAATAACATATAGCTGATGTCAAACACCGTCGCGTAAGTCGCGTAAGTCTGCAGTCTGCGAGCATGTCATGGATAAACCTACACATTCAGTGAAGTTTGACAAACCCAAGGTCCTCGCAAAAGAAGTCCGTTATATACCCAGGATGCTGCGAGAAGCCATTGAAATTAAAAAATATCCTAATTTCAACAGGGTAGATGGTTTCCCCGTACCACCAGTTTGGGATCCAGTATTTCCTCTAATGAAAAATCCCAAACAGACTTATTAATACGTTTACGAGATTAATACGTTTTAGTTTATTCTAATTTCTATTAATAATTAATAATAAATTGAACTTGATAAAAATTCATTCAATAAAATAATTTGTAAAACTGAATGTAGCGTAAATTGGAATGTTTTCTTTGTAAAATTAAAAATAAGGTATTTAATTAATAACTATTGTAACTATAGTGAAAACAATAGGGTGGTTTGTATCAATATTAGACATAACTGGTTGAAGACTGTACCACCTCAGTCGGTTTGTGTGAAAAAACCCGCGATTTAAATTCCGAAAAATGGTTTCATTTCCTATAAAAAATAAATATTTTCATTTCAAAAAATATAAGGAAAGCAGTAAACAATTCAATTTATAAATGTTTAAGTATTATGTAGAAAAAGTAAAATCAATGACAAAAATTATATATAAAGAATACGTAAAACAAAATCGGTTAAATTTAAGAATTTACCCTAGGAAATTTGGCAATTTGTTAAAAATAACAGAGCTGCACCTCAACATTGCAACGAATTTATTTATAATGATAAAATTATTACTATCCTCACTTGTTTCCATCATTGTTTGTGTCGGGAATGGTCGGTTTAGATGCCATAAGAGTTGAGATGAAAGATGGCGTTACATCGACTCTTTAATGCATTGACCTACCAATCTTTAATGTCACCAATTGTGATGAAATTGACAATTCGATTGGCTCGATGAATGTCGGAGCTAACGAGCACGTCGCCTCACTAAAATTAAAAAATGAAAGAGTCCTGGATATATTGCATTTTTTTTCAATGGTTGTATGATAATAATTACGGAACTTCAGAGGCATGCATATGTCAAAAGTTACAAAAGGTATAAATGGTTGGACGAAGTATAGGTTAAAGAAAATAATAATATGGTAGTAATATAGAAAATTATTTATCAGAAAACATATCATGAATAAGCAGACTCTGATTCACTTGAGGTGTCGTCGTCGCTTACATGTATAATTCCCAGGTCGTATGTACCTGACTAACAAATGGAACTTTTTTGTTAATTTGTAATTTTGAACAGTGGTAGAGAGTTATGTGCCAGACGCCAGACGCCCGAGACAACAGCGAAAAGATCCGGTGTATACGAGAGACGATGGTCACCCGGTTGAACCTGGGCCTGCAAGCGGCTTCCGTCTGAGACGCGAACAGGGTCATGTTTAATGAGGCTAAAACACGGGCGTGTCTTTTCTCAACAAAACGAAGCCCTCTACACCTTACTCCGACTTTCCGAGATGTATCCGTGCCGATAAGTGACCACCTTGTGCTACTTGCTCTGGACTTATCATCCAACTTCAACTTTGGGCGATAAATCGAGTCCTTGGCAAAAACTGCTGCCAAAAAACTAGGCATACTTTACAAGGTCAGGTGGTACTTCACACCTGAACAGCTTTTAAAACTGTATAAAGCACAAGTTCGTTATGGAGTGCTGCTGCCACCTTTGAGACGGCTCTGCCCAATACCAGTTAGCTGCCTTGGACTCGGTGGAGCGAAAAGCAAAGAGACTAATTAACAACAATTATCTTGTGCAGTCGAAGCTACAAAATCGCGACTATCGCAGAAAAGTAGCCTGCTTGTCGGTTTTCTGTCGGATACATTTCGGGGGGTGTGCGCGGGAACTTTTCAATTTACTTCACCTTCGGTCGACTAGAAGGTCCGGAACACTCCATTCTTATGTGGTTGATTTACCACTTATTCGCGCTAAGCGCTTTGCTTCCTCCGTCCGCGATGCGTACGGCAAAGGAATGGAATACTCTACTCTCTGTGTTCCCGAAAAGTACAATTTGGGGCTTTTCAAGGCTAGAGTGAATAGGTGTTCTTTAGGCAAACGCGTCCCATCGTCGCTTAACATCAGGTGTGATTGTGGCCAAGCGTATGTCTATTATATATTAAAAAAATATATAAAAATTTACCAAGGATTAGGGTGACTAAACTACTTACAACTAGGAAATGAAACTGTTTTTCCGGATTTAAATTGCGTATATTTGTTTTTTTAAACAAACCGACGTTTCGGGTCCTTCACAGGTCCCATGGTCACGGTTAACCGAGGTGGTACAGTCATTAACCAGTTATGTTTAATATTAATGCTAATCACCCTATTTTTCAAACGTCGGTTTGTTTGAAAAAAAACAAATATACGCGATTTAAATCCGGAAAAATAGTTTCATTTCCTATGTGTCACAATCGTGAAGATCTAAGAATTCGATACTTACAACTACTTTACACTTTTTTACGTTACGTAACAGTATAATGATAGTATTGTTTACCACATCACTACAAAAAGAAACAGTTGAGGTAAGCGTCATACTGGGTAGTATGGATTTCAAAATATTATTTTTGTTGTAACTTTTATGCCTTTTTTATATTAAAGATTAAATTGTGGTATTTTGGTTTATGGTGAGTTGACATTATAACATGAATTTTAATGAAATTTTGTATTCCTCGTGTATCTTAGCTATTAAAAGAAATAACCGTAAATTGTTGGCCATTTTAAAGTTATATTGCATTCTCTCGGCGGTCGGACTTTAACTTAACGCTAGTGTACTTTATATTGATGATTCAGGTTTTTTAAAATGCGGACAGCATCCACGCTTTGATCGCTTTCGGGGCTCCCACCGCCCCCGTAGGACTCTTCAACGCCCATCTGGTGGCGGCAGGGACCACTTCGGAAACTACGGTCTAGCACGACGTCTGTCGCCGCAGGTGCTGACCCGGCAGAACATCGAGGAGCTCATCGCGTTCGCGCACAAGCACCGCCTGTTCATCTTCGCCGACGAGGTGTACCAGGACAACGTGTACGACGCGAAGTCCGAGTTCATATCGTTCAAGAAGGTGCTGACGGAGATGGGCGCGCCCTTCTCGGGCATGGAGCTGGCGTCGTTCATGTCCGTCAGCAAGGGCTACATGGGCGAGTGCGGGCTGCGCGGCGGCTGGATGGAGCTGCTGAACCTGCAGCCCACCGTGCAGGCGCACCTGTACAAGACCATCAGCGCTATGCTGTGCCCGTCGGTGCTGGGGCAGGTCGCCGTGGACTGCGTGGTGGGTGCCGGGGCTCCGTCGCGTCGGCCGAAGGGCCGCGACCGACAGACCCCGCATTGCCCGCAGGCGAAGCCGCCGGCGCCGGGCGAGCCGTCGCACGAGCGCTGGCTGCGCGAGAAGGCGGGCGTGCTGCGGGCGCTGCGCGAGCGCGCCGCCATGGTCGTGGACGCCTTCAACTCCATGCCCGGCTTCGCGTGCCGGCCCGTGCAGGGCGCCATGTACGCCTTCCCGCGCCTGGCGCTGCCGCCGCGCGCCGCGCAGGCCGCCGCGCGCGCGCAGCAGGCGCCCGACGTCTTCTACGCCTTCCGCCTGCTCGAGGAGACCGGCATCTGCATCGTGCCGGGCTCCGGCTTCGGCCAGCGGCCGGGCACCTACCACTTCCGCACGACCATCCTGCCGCAGCGGGACGTGCTGCGGACCATGCTGGACGCCTTCAAGAAGTTCCACGAGGAGTTCACCCGGGAGTTCTCGTAGACGCCCGAGCGCGCCTCGATCGAACCGAGTCTATTATTCCGTAAATGTTTTTATTCATTAGTCGCCGCGCCCTCGCCGCGAACGTTGTTGAGGGTAAATGTAGATCGAAACTAGTCGTAGTGCGACCGCGTGCGACGTTCGTCCGCCGTGGCCGCGGGGGCGGCGGCGACGGCTCGGTCGAACGTCTCGCCGTTGTTCAGAATTTGTAGACGCGAGGGCGAGGGTCGGCGGGCCGTTTATTTAGTAGTTAGAGCGGAATGTGATTTGCAAAGAATTTTATTTGCGAGTATATAATACTCGTCGGTCGATACTGTTTATCGTAATTACGTTATCTCGAAAATTCGAAAATTTGTTTTTTCTACTGTTATTATTGTGTATTTATCGTTTTATGAAAACGTTGCCCTTGTACACTTTACTAGACTAGGTGAAAATGAAGTTGCATTTAGGTGTTGACATTTTGTGACCGCGGCCGGCGTGGCGGAGGAGACTCGGCCGGATCGGACCTCCAGTCTCGGCCGTGCCGCGGCGGACTTATCTGTTCCACATTTATGTTCGCACAGATTGTTTTTACCCGCTTTGAATTCTGTACATTGGCGTTATTATTAAGTCGCCCGGACCGTTTCTTCGTAGGTTTTATTGTTTCAAGTATACACCCACTAATTTACACGTGCATTTTGTGCGGGGATAATAACGCAGCTCTAGCAATAAGTTAACGTTCGTTTTGTATATCACCGCTTAGCTAGAAAATGAAATGCTGGAAAATAAATAATCATGGGGCGAATGGATAAGGGCGGTTGTATTGTAGACATTCCCGTTACTTTTTTGATCGATATGACAGCCAAGTTGTTGTTACGTGTTGTTAAACTCGATTATAATATTTAAACAATTTGTTTGTTTTATTTCAACGATATTTCCTGAAATATTTCCTGACTACGAACGAAAGGGGAACAAATAGATAAACTTTTCACATTAAACTTTCGCACACTATTGGATATTGGTATCATGAAAAAGAGGTAAAAAACTGGTTTAGGCGGTCCGCCGTTCAAAAGTTATAAGAGTGTTAATACTGTACCACCCTGGAATAAGTTTATTCCATCGGCACCATTTCTCAACCTCGAGAACCACAATACCCAGCTTAGATCAAATTACACTAAAAAAAATTGTGATTATTTAGTCGGTTCTAGTCGGAAAATACTAGATTGTCGTTACGCCGTTTTAAAGTTATTAAGGTGTTTTACTATCTACGCTGGAATAAATTTATTCCGGCGGTATCATTTTTGAATATAGAGAACCACAGGTCCTAGATTAAATGTGATTGCACCCAGAAAGAGTCGTGAATTAGTCGGTTCTAATAGCAAAATTTTAGAATTAGTCGCTCCTTTGTTTAGCAAGATACTGGATATTGAATTATTTTAATTGGTAGGTACGTACATGTACATAGAAAAATCGTACACGTAATGAAAAATGTATATTTAAGGAAGGTCACCGCTCCAAATGTTCGTTGTGAAATCACTGAAGAGATGCTGGTGGTGATTAAATGAAGATGAAGACCATCGATTATGGTTGAAACTAGTCGGACCGCTTCCGACTAAAATACTACGCGAGAAGTCCCGTTACTTTTATACTATAAGAGTGTAATAAATAAATATTTTAAATGACCACTGAATTTTTAGAGTCAAATTTAACCGTAACACCAATTTGTAGCTAAAAATTACTTGCGCTACAAATTATAATAACTATCGTTTATTCTAGAGTATCTATAAAGATTCCCCCCCCCCCCCATTAAAAAAAAAGGGCCTGTGGCTCTCGAGATTGAAAAATGGTACAGCTGGAATAAGCTTATTCCAGCGTGGACGGTAACACAGCCTTATAACTTGTGAACGGCGGCGGACCGACTCAATCTAATTTTTTGCGATTAGAACCAACTAAATAGCGACTTTTTATCTAGCTAGTCAAATTTTAAAAAATCAAAATTTTCTGAGTTCTTATCTTTATGTTAATAATTAATTATAACTAATTTTTTTTAAACCGATCTCAAAAGTTGACTCCGTTTTCAGTGTGTCCATTGCCGCGGCCTATTCAATGATAATACAAGGTAGCTGTTGTACACTGTTGAAGAGTTCCTCTGTAATTTCCATCGTCAGATCAGCTCATGGTCACCATAAAATTTTGTTTATATAGAAATTACGTTTATGAGCCAAGTTTTATTGAAAACCGATACCGGAAAGAAATATCCACAGAAAAATCCAATAAACCGGATTCGCCCTCTAATTTGCGCTCCTTAGAGGTGAAATATTTTCTTCAAATTTGAGCGGGGCCACTACTTTGGTACCCCCTTTCCAACAAAAAAAGAATCCTCGAAATCGGTTCCTAAGTGCAACAAACACACACATACACAAATGCAGTCGAATTGAGAACCATCTCCTTTTTCAGAAGTCGGTTAAAAGTAAAACTTGATTAAGGCGACGCGCAAACGACACTTCAGTGTGTTGTGTTGGATACGAGCAACCGGGCAACTCGTATTGAATATTCTATTTTTAACCGACTTCAAAAAAGGAGGCGGTTCTCAATTCGACTGGTTTTTTTGTATGTATGTTACGCGATAACTCCGCCATTTGCGAACCGATTTTGATGATTCTTTTTTTGTTGGAAAGAGGGTACCTCAGAAGTGGTCCCATTTAAATTTGAAGAAAATATTCGCCCTCTAAAAATAGTAAACTAGGAGATGAATGACTTTTGAGATCGGTTTTTTTAGTACTCTTGTGTGAAATTAGCGTTGCTTCTACGACGTCTGGCGTGTGATGCTGACGAAACACACGGGAATTCAAGCACCGAATGTTACCAGTCCGAAATAGCGACCGGTGACTTGTGCCCGGTAGCCATTACTGAGCTTCGCAACCACGGTTTGCTGTGTGACCACAGAACAACAAATACATGTTTGTATACAAAATTTTTTTTCGGCGGCTCTCACTGTGTCCTGTGGCAGTAACAGAAACCGGTTTCGTGCTTTCCATACTTATTCCAGGCACCATTAGTCAATTTAAAGAACCAATCTGATTGCGATAATTTGTTTTACGATTAGAACCGATTAATTCACGGCTTTTTCTGGGTGCAATCAGATCTAAGGTAGGAGCTGTAGTTCACTAAATTGACTAATGGTGCCACTGAAGTAAGTCTTGAAACTATGTTGAACTTGAGAAAAGGTGCCGCCGGAATACTCTTGAAAGGGTTGTAATGAAACGGGAAACTTCCGGTCCACAAATTTATTAAAGAAGTAAAGTTAAAAGAAAGGGCTGTAGCAATATAAAGGTAAATCTAAAAAAAAAAACAGGTACAACCGTATAAAACACTCCCTACACTTTAATAAAGGCACTTACCCCTAAATGGGCCGAGTAACTGAATTACAGATGAGATGAATGAATGATGTGACATGAAGGCTGTAGACTTATAAATTATTACACATGATTTAGCTTAATTAATGATTATAAACGTAGTAAAGAACCAAAATTAGCGATTATACGCGATAGAATTTGAAACGGCCCCGACTGTTGTGGCGGTCGACCAGGGAGTGACCGTGGTACGAAAACAAAATGAGAAAGTGAAGGAAGATGGAACAATTCAAATTTAAAATTTAAATACATGTAAAATAAAAAAATGATAGGATACAAGCGGAGAGAGGCGATACAAAAAGGTGAGATGACGGTGTAAGGAGGTCACACCGTCACACTCTTATTCCAACGCGGACAGTAAAACATCCTTAAAATAATTTTATAATAAAACTTAATTAACTAAATGACAACAATGGATTTTGACCTGTAAAGCCAGGGTCTCAACCTACATAGAAGGGATATCAGCGAAAAGGTTTTCCAACATGACCACTGTGACTACTCATCGTACTCGATTATGGTCAGGCTATGAGCCTTTTTCTAAAAAGCACACTATTGATTTGAAGGTATACATACTTTGTGCTCAACAACCTACCTAACGAACACTGTCGTGAAAAGTTTTTGCTTTTTACCAAACACAATAAAATTTTTCTTTGTTTCTCTATGAGGTTTAGTTTAAAACTGACATTTAGTAGCCAATTTAAATGTCTCTCGCTCGAGCAAGAAAACAAAATAGTTTTGGGATTTTCATTGACACTAGCGACGATCGCCATAATTTTTTACAATATTTTATCCTCAGTGGGTCAGAAGCCAAACCCACCAAAATAATAATATTAAATATTTTTTGAATGTTCATATTCTAATTAGATTTTACTAAATCGAACTGAAACCAGCAATAGATCACAAAGGATCTGGAGACACGGTAAATGAGCGTCGAAAAAGGTTTCAGAGGAGCCCGAGAATAGTGGCGCCAAAGCATATATGGAGGGCGTGCTGGCCACGCCAAAGGCCATGGCGGCCGCTGCTGCTGCTCAGCAGGACCAAGGTCCTTTCGATGGAGTCTATGAACCAAAACATCGTGAAACTGCAGTACGCCGTGCGCGGGCCGCTGGTGACTCGTGCGCTTCAGCTCGAGGCCGAGCTCGCCAAGGTTCGTGCGCATCTGAGCACCACCCATCGAGTCATGACTCGACCTTACTGTGCAAGAGCGGCGTCAGGGCATAGACCCGACAAAGTGGGAATAGAAGTGGATCGAGACTGTTTCGACGTTGCGGGTTACGACGTTGCTGAAATCTATATATATATTATGCCACCTACTACTTGATACTACTTCTTGGATCGTGCAAATGTTACGTTCGAATCCCCTACTTTTATGTTGCGTGCCGCGGAGTTGACAGATGTCGTTGTTGCAGGGCTCCAAAAAGCCTTTCAAGCAAGTGATCAAGGCGAACCTCGGTGACTGCCACGCGATGGGCCAGACACCCATCACGTTTATTAGACAGGTATGGTGCCTACCCTTTATTTCCTTTGACCCATCTTTGCAGTTTATTCGTTAACTATATTGTTTCGGTTGTAAGTAGTAGAAGGTACATAATGGACTGTAAATTAAATCAAACGCGTAGTTAAATATTACTTACAACACTTAAATATTACATCCACTTGTATAAATTTGGCTGCCAGACACGGGTTTCCCCTAAGTGGAATCACCTATACTGGCACAATGCCATTTGGGGACTCCGTGATATGTCTTCAAAGTGTACCTAATGTTTAAAGACAACAGGACAGGTACAATACCACACTCAGATCCAAGCTAGAACAGATGTAAAATTTTAACCGTTTATCTCTTTTTAATGTTTATGCCGAAAACAAAATTTGTTTGGTGCTATAATAAAATATTTTCAACTTTTTCACAGTTGTTCGAAAACTTGTACTTTTAAAGGGTGCGGAAATTAGTATTTTTACTTCACTTTTCCATGTTATGTTACGCGATTACTTCGACATTATTTTGTGAACCGATTTCGATGATTCTTTTTTATTGAAACCCCCTTTACCTCTGTAGTGGTCCTATTCAAATTTTAAGAAAATATTTCATCTCTAAGTGTGACAAATTAGGGGGTGAATCCGGTTCCATTTTCCTTTATGTGTGCATGCTACAATGTCCACCTCATCATCGGTTTCCATCAGGTGAGATAGAGGTCAAATGCGAACTTATTTTTTATATTAAAAAATAACCGATTTCAATAAAACTTGGCACCTAAATGTGGTGCATTTTGTAAGCGGGTAATAAATTATGAATAATTATGTAGAAAAATTAATAAATTAATTAAACTAAGCAATGAATTTACTAAACCAATTCCGAAAATTTTAAGTATTTCTTTAACCAGAAATAAACGTTAGACTGAATGTGTTCGACGTTCTGCTTTTTTAAATTAACAAAACTTTACATTACAATATATTGTTACTTAGTTGTAATATAGATACATTTCGATTTGATTGATATTGCGGAATTATCACCATCGGATCCAACGGTTTGTGTGAAGAGCTTAAATGTATTTGTGACTTATGAAAATATCGTTGCGAAAAACGCTGAAAACAACGGGCTTTGCGTTGTTTTCAGTGTAGATCTGGTGTTTTATTTGTCTCCTCAACATATTCGCGCTAAAACCGTGTGCGCAGCTGGGCTCTCTTTGTGACGTCTCTGGCCGGCATCGGCAGTTACCTACCTATGGCCTGACTGATCAAAAACTAACGTTACGTAATAACGCGGTTAAACTCAGAATGTACGTATTTAGCGTTATTTTATGCATGGTTTTGGCGTCTCGTACGTTCTCGCCATATCTTTTATATACAATGGAAGATTCTTAACTGATGTGATATGTTTTGACTATGTGACATTATTTAGTAGCAGTAGAGCTCCATGTGAAAGAGTTCGTCCAGGGAAATACTGCCACCTTACTAATGTACGCCGCCAAGCTCAATAATGCTCACATTACTGCGATCCGGTTTTGAAGGGTACGTAAGTGAACTGGTGAAACTGCAGGCACATGGGACTTGTCAATTTTTGTCTCATGGTGACAAGCGCAGTGGCTGTGCGCGATTTAAAGTGGCACTGCGACTACTATGGACGGAGACGTAGCGCGTTTGGATTTTCGGTTTCACGCAAGTTTCGATGTCGCACAAGACACGCGTTTATTTAGTAGGTACGTTCTATTCAACTGATTACGATGATCTCTGATCCATAAACGGTATTATCTACACATACGTATTATATTATTATTTGTACCTATACTCTTCATTCGGACTAAAATTATTCTATGCATGTTCTCGAAAATCTGTTTTTTATAATATCAAGTAATGGGTCGAACAAGTTGTGCGCCTGGTGGTAAGCGACGCGCCTGTCCATAGCAGTTGCAGTGCCACTCAGAGGTTTAAATCGTAAAAGAGGCACTGTATGTAGTTAGTGCACAAGAGAAAAGTTGCGGTACTTTTGCTTATGTTTTATCTATTTTTGTTGACGTGATCGTTACAGGTGCTGGCGTTGGTCATCTATCCTGACCTAATATCCTGTATCAACGTTCCCGACGACGTCAAGAAGAGGGCCCAAGACATATTAAACGCATGCGGGTTTGTTCAGTTATTGTTGCACACATCGATACCTTTATCTACAGGTCGTGGGTCTAATCTCCATTTATATTTGGATGTATAGTCCACTACGTTACCGCAGGGAGTTATTGTCAGGTTAGTCTTGTTGTTAGTAGTAGATTTAATAGGTAAAATTGATATCGTGAGAATGAAAAATGTGTAAATACTAAATTGAGACAAATCATTATTAATTTATCGAGTTCTTAGGTTTTCGCGATTGTTACACATTGTTGACTGACAACCGTGACCATGGGACCTGTAAAGGGCCCGAAACGTCGGTTTGTTTGAAAAAACAAGTATACGCGATTTAAATCCGGAAAAATAGTTTCATTTCCTATTATCAATTTAGTTGTAAAATTACGTATAGAGGCAAGTCGGCGGGCGCATACACGGGCTCGCACGGCATCGACATGATCCGTAAGAACGTGGCCAACTACATCAAGAACCGCGACGGGTATGACTCCGATTTCAACAATATCTGCCTTTCGGGCGGCGCCTCCGCCGCCATCAAGTATGTCATGGAGCTCTTCTGCAACAATCCGTGCAAGAAATCAGGTACAAACCTTGTGCTCACCAATTCTCTTTTATCGTACATAAACCGCCAATAAAACAGACATAGACAGTCTATTAGATAGTAAAATAAGTTAAATATTTTATACCTAAAGTGCTGGTGTAAAAGACACAAAATCGCATGTAATACAACGGTGGTATGCGTGTTCGTGCAGGCGTTATGATCCCGATCCCTCAATACCCGCTGTACTCGGCGTCGATCGCGCAGTTCGGCCTCGAACCGGTGGGCTACTACCTCGACGAGGATAACAACTGGGCACTTGATGTGAGCGAGCTGCAGCGTGCGATTAAAGAGGCCGAGTCTCGCTGCCAAGTTCGGGCCATCGTCGTCATTAATCCAGGGAACCCTACAGGCTCGGTTAGAACAACCCCCTACTTACTACATGTAATCAAAACATTCCAGTAACATCAAGCGAATAAAGGCGTGCTTGAAGCGACAAGGGTCACGCTTCGTGAGTTTAGTTCTCAATTGTTGGTGATAATGTTATAGGTGCTTTCACCCGACAACGTGAAGACAATAATAAAGTTCGCGAAGGAGCACAATTTATTCATATTCGCTGACGAGGTGTACCAAGACAATGTCTACCCTTCGGATATGAAGTTTGTGTCCTTCAAGAAGGTGAGTGATGGTATCTATTTGGACGCTGCCTAATTGGAACCACTATCGGGTTGTCGTTGCAATACAATCTACTCGTATGATACATGCAATAACTAACATACCATGTCCAAACATAATCATCTTATGCAGTTTTAATAGCTCGGAAGTTCTACCACCACCGTCAAACACTAAGGCTTCATTCACACGGCATTGTCCTGCACATCGTGATAGATCCACGCTTTGTTGCACTTTTATATTGGCATAGAAGTCAGCGTACCGTACGCTTGTGTTATTTTCTCTTCCCTTGTTTTGAAATCTGGATTCTGGGGGTCTACTCTCGATCTCCATCCGACATCCGTCCGAAACAATTACTGCCAAATAAGCAATACTTGACCAAATGAAAAGACGCGTGATGCGAATGAAGCTTCATACTTGATACTTGTCTTTTAATTTTGTCGAATATTACTTATTTCACAGTAATTGTTTCAGACGGCTGTCGGATGTACTGTACCACCATAATTTTCTTATATATAATATTTCTTTCCAAGGCGCTTGAGGTGCAACGCGATTTTTATACAATTCCATAGTTTTGCCCCACTAAACGGGTCTTTGTTCCACTAAAGATATCAATAAATCATTGTCCACAGAAGATTCGCCGGTCGTTTTGTATTAATAAAATTATGCGTGGCTCTCTCCTTCCAAAAGATACTTCAATACTACACGCCGCTTGTTTGGTGACAATTCGATAAAAACGTATAACTTCGTGCCGTGTGAAAGAGATGCATTAACACTATGCGCCACTGCACACCGAATACGTAAAAGTTCATGCGATTTGCTTGACAAGTTGCGTATTCGATAAACGTATAGAGCTGTGTGCGTTTTTTTTGCAGGACAAACACCATGTGAACGAATAAAAATGGAAGTAAATTAATTTTCTACTCCGCCAACCCGGTGAAGGTTAAATCGTGCAAAATTGCTGCGTTTGTGTTGAATATTTTTTCATGCAGTTAATTATCCCACCCTCCCCCTGCATAAAATTAATAAAATAAAGAACATAAGCGCAACTACAGTCACAAGCCACCACCAAAAATATACCTGTCACCTTAGAATAATAACGCATATTCTAAACCTGTCACGTCTTTCGCCTTTCCACGAGGCATCCTCAGGGGCTGTGAACTGCTCGACGCTCGGCTCGGCGGAAGAGTCTCTTCGGAGTAGCAAATTAATTTACTTCCATTTTTATTAACATGGACTTCCGCAAAGTAACGCCTGAATCTATTAATTACCCTGTGAACGGTTCTACATCTATGGTGTGCGCCACTGTTTATTCGGTCAACTTTAATGTCTCAGTGGCAGTGCCCCTCAGGTCTTTGTGATTGAAAGCTTTAAATGACACTGCAACAGTAGGTAACTCTTAACCAGGCACACGACTGTTCGTGCCGCCACTAGATAAAAAAAAATTTGAAAGAAATAGGTATTTAAGTAAATATCGTGGCATTGACTTTAAAAAAATTTAATATTGAAGTTTCTAGTTGTACTTAAAAAAGTAACCTATCACAAACTCGAATTTTTTTCCGAAATAACGTTTGTTCGAATTTTCATTACACCGAAAACCGAATTATATGAAACCGTTGTTCTTTTAGGGTATGTTGGATGTTTATCGCAAAGACACGATTAGGTTCGGTTAAGTTAGGTTTTAAAGAAAAAACATTTGGTGTTGAATAACTTGCTTTTTAGATTTCTCTAAAAACTAACCTAATACCATTGACTTACAAATAAATGGACGACGGGTCTAATACAAAAACCTCGAAAAAATGTCCCAAGTCAACCTATTTAAACGTAGTGACATGTAAAGGAATATGAAAAAGCTAAAACATTGAATTTAAATTGTAATGTCATTGCAGTACTGCCTAATTTTGCTTGCAACAATTGAAAGGCGCAAAAAACACCATATTCAGCTTCCACTGGAAACTTACCAAAATGCACCATGTGTATAGTGAAAACTACTTGAACACGGGTGTAATGGAGTAGCCTTTATTATTTATAAATAAATTTTATACGTAAATGTTGAATTTTATACAATGCCATTTATTACGAGCTAGGGTGTCTGACTTTTTTTTCTTGAGTTCCGAGAATTCTCGTACCCGATTTCTCGAGTTATTCGAGAATTTTTTTAAAAACCTTAAAAAATCAGCGCAATCAACTATAAAACTAAATGTGAACTTTTCGAAAGTTGTTTTGGCCTGGGTGTTCTGAGTTGTGCCCCGGAATAAATTCCATCGTTCTTGGTCCCAGGTTCGATTCCCAGTAGAACCAATTTGGGAAATTAACTTTTGTAAATTGGTTCTGCTCTGGGATTCTGTTGCTTTGATACTCAAGGGTAGTATGTACAGAGAGCTCCCTAGTTTCAAACCAGGCGATTGTCTTACAATAGAATACCAACACCAGAACCATTTAGAAAAGTTAATTTGTTAAATTGATCCTACCGGTATCGAACCCGGGAACTTCTCATCCCGTGCCCACAGTGCAAATCGTTAGGCTATCAAGGTTGTTACTATTTGTATTATTATGCAGTGTTTTTGTTCACTCATTGATGTAATCACATACCAAAGCTTTAATATTATGGTCTTTTATCAAGCTTGCATCAGCTCTTGTTTCCTTTCTTTTCTTACCATTTTCTTAATTTTTCTTAAGTTCGTGCATAGTATTGAAATTATACTGCGCTCAAAAACGTCACCACTTTTCTATATGCCGTAGTGCTTACATTGAATCAATATAATTATTACGGTTTATCACTGACGACGGTTGATTCCGTCAACAGGCATAGTCGTACTGCTCATAGTTCTTGCAAATGTTTCTTGTGCATGAAAAAGTACTGCTATGACGGCAGTAGGGTATTTGCCGCTGTGAGATAATTACAAAATTAAAATGCGCGATATTGATTGCTCATTTTTCATTCAAGAGAAACGCTTTCCAAAAATAAACACTTAGGTACTGATTAATAATAATAATTATAATAACGCACACGCTCAACATTGCCCCGCATTAGGGAAACCCTGTGTCGCGGGTGCCATGGACACACATATAGACAACCACAAATTACACCCAAACTCACGAGAGAAATAATTGTAGGCCATACGCATATTTCTCCCGACAAACCTACAAAAATACTTTCGGGATTACGGAAATTCATGCAAAGGTTATTTCGGGCAAATGTTTTTTCGGTCTTCTGATTCGTAACCCCGAGACGTAGAAAGAGTACCACAATATTTGAAAGTATTACTAACATGTATTAAAACACATTTTAATAATAACATTAGCATCAAAGCGATTTGCAATTTTTGTTCTAAATAATTCAAACGTTTTTGTGTTTCAAATAATTCAAATTGACGTGGTGGGTTTCGTTCAGTCTTTTACGCAAGCAATGAGTCGGAAAGAGACAGCTATTTGATTATTTTGATTGCTTTTGTAATTTATATTTACGACTAATTTAAATATAAATTAAATACTATATATGCTAGTGCATAAAATAACACTTTTAAATGATAACTATGATAACACAATATAGTACTTACTGAAAATATGATATACCACCCTGTTTTTCACTTTAGTTGAGTAATGTTTACAAGGTTTTACTACACAATACGGCACCATTGACAAGCGCGCTGTCAGTCAAACAAACGAAGACTAAAGCGTGTTTGACGCTCTGTATACGATTTTAACGCCCTGTAAGTTCGGACACTTTTTAGCGCGGACCCGACGTCCATTTATTTGTAAGTCAATGCATAATACCTACTTATATGCCATTGATTTAAGGAATCTTTTTTCAAAGATTCCTTACAACAAAGTATTATAATTGACTATAAAAGAACTCACACTTAATAACTTGTAGGTCATGATGGAGATGGGGTCGCCATTCTCGGAGATGGAGGTGGCGTCGTTCATGTCGCTGAGCAAGGGCTACATGGGCGAGTGCGGGCTGCGCGGTGGCTGGATGGAGCTGGTGAACATGGACAAAGACGTACAGGCGCATCTTTTCAAGGCCATCAGTTCGAACCTGTGCCCCACCTCACTCGGACAGGCCGGAATGGACTGCGTCGTAAGTGTCAGAACAAGACAATTGCTGCCGCGATAGCGTCTTGGCGACCGTGCAAATTGTGTGATTCACGCGTGAGAGTAGAAATATGTAATTATCAAGAGTCGAGTCGCTCAGTTCGTAGAGTTCGTTATTAAAAGGTTACATGGGAAACGTGGCGGAAGGTAGCGTAGTGTCGAGGGACCGCTCGTGTGCCGCAGGCGAAGCCGCCGGCGCCGGGCGAGCCGTCGCACGAGCGCTGGCTCGGCGAGAAGAGCGCCGTGCTGGCGTCGCTCAAGAGCCGCGCCAAGCTGGCCGCCGACGCCTTCAACGCCATGCCCGGGTTCAAGTGCAACGAAGTCAGGGTGCGTACTTCCCGCCTCGTTTTTATGCGTGAAACGCTAGCAGCTCATCATTTTATTTCTAAAATGCGTTTCAATATTTACTTACGAGCTCAAATCCGAACATTTCAAATTCAAATTTCCCCCATATTTTTTTGGAAGCTAATTTCATTTAATTATTGGAAAATAGATCTGCGTCGGTAACATTTTAGCGCGATGATTCTTTACGATTTTACCTATATGTCGCCTAAAACCGGATTGACCGTTTGATGAACTTCAATCGGCATTTATGCATAAACGCCCTTCTAAGGCGACCTTGTACTGTTAGTATAATGAGCTAAACTGCGATCGACTAACTCAAAAAGGTTAATAAGGTTAACAATTCACAGAGCGGTTTCCATCCGCGCCCGCCGGTGCTGCTAGACAGCGGTTTTATTTCAATACTCACGACCCTGCAAGTTCGTGCGAGCACATAGCTGCCGCGGTTGTGGGCACGAAACCGTTGCGATTGCGGAACGGATCGCAAAGTTAGTGGAAGTTAATTGCAAGTCGCGCGGTTAATAGAGAACTCACTCACTCATAACCTTAGAGCTAAGTCCAAACTCATGGTATCACGATTTCGTTTAACAAAGGTAAACAACTCTTTTATGGGGAACTGTATACGTTTTTACAATAAGATTCCGGAGCATATATTAAGTTTATCATTTCCTAAGTTTAAAAACTACATTAAAAATATTTTAATCGAAAAATCATATTACAAAATTGAAGACTACGTGTTAGATAAAGATGTATGGAAAGACGACATGGCTCCAGAATCCACACAAATTTGATTCAAAGTGTATTCCATCGCATTTAAGTTTATTTGAAAAGAGCAATCCCTAGAGTTTCTTGCTCGTTCTTCTCAGGGAGGTCAGCGTAGTGAACGAGCAGTAGCTTAAATGTGACGTTTTCAAGTGTAAATTTATTTTACCTATGGAATAAATAATCTTTGACTTTGACTTTGACTCACCCTGCGTGCCCCTGCACCGACCGCCAAAGTGTGCGGGCGACGACGGCCGCCAAGCGCGTATGTTATCGCGTTCTAGTACCCTGCCGCGGCAACCGCAAACAACCGTCACCACTACAGGCGTGAAACGCGCCATGAAATGTGCTACTAATTTTACATACTTAACTGTTACATTCTACTGATGCCGCGGTCCCGCGGCAGACGCGGGTGAAAACCGCTCCGTGAGTTCTTAGTGTAACGAAAAATGAGTTTCAGCGCCATCTAACGTGTAATAGTTAGCTATGTACTAGTTGTATTTTTGTTAAAACGCCACCTATTGGTGAATGGCTGAACCAGGATGAAAACAATACTGAAATATTGTAATATAACTCTTATTCAAGTGACTGTAAGTTTAATTTTGTTAAATTTTTAAAATAGTTTTACGTCGTTTTCACGTTTTAAGCCCTACCCAATCAAAATCTTTAAGTTATGGTAGTAGATAATAGAGCGTTAAGTTTGAATTGCACTCAAGCTAAAAAGTGGCGACATCGGCACCCGATCTTACATAGCGTCATTACATATCTCCCCTTTTTTCTATATCTATGGCTGAGCCCATGCCTTTTGTCTCAATTTACTTTTACTGTTTTCACTGTTTTGTTTTTTTAATTTGTTTTGACTTCTTTGCTATGTTTAAATTAAAAAAAATGTTATTCTGAGACAATAAATGATTTGTTTATTTTATTTATTTATTTGTTATTATTTATATTTACTATATATCGTGTGTAATATATAATCGTATCCCTTTTTTTTTATAGATTCCATTCAATCCAATATTTTTGATATAAGTTTAATTTATCTATGCTTTTGTTACAGATCTTCTGTTTTTGGTTTTAACGTCTTTTTCACCTATTAGAAAACTATGAAAGTTTGTCTTCACTCTTGTTGCTTCAGATTTTCATACAGGACATTGAAAAGGATACTGAATGACTGAACCCAAAGACAACCGATATATTGTAAGCTAAGTTTAACGAAATCGGAAGTCTGTCGAAATCTTGAAACAAGTGAGATGGAAGTGTTAGCTTGTGGACTGTCAGGTTGAGATACACAGCCGAAGATCGACAAGGGGGCCTAAATTACTGGGGGCACCGTATAGTAAGGTTGAGGTTTGCCTAAAATTGAGCGACATGGATCCCTGTGGAGTATTTCTGACGAAGTCAAAAAATATCATTGTTTAGTGAGGACTGACGTCACAGAAATTTGGGGAGATCTGGAAAGGGTTATGCAGACGTATGTTTTGAAGAGGTTACGCCATACATGAGAGGACGTTATGTTTTGGACAGGCTTAACTTCTGAAGATTGTACGGAGTTAGTTTTCATTGAAAATGGTTCTCTCAATAATGCACAACGATTATCAGGGAAATTCTATTTTTGATAACTATCACAAACATAATTATAGTGCACTACCCGACACGGGTGCTGCTGCCGTCTTAATGGACGATAATGTTGGAGCGCACACCGAGCGGGTGAAATTGAAGCTTACCTGACCGAGGACGGATTCGCCGTTTGGATCGGCCAGCACGCATTCTCGCCCGTAACCCCACTGAGCATCTGTGGAACGTTCTAAAACGGCGTATCAGAGCTTTACATCCAACCCTAAAGAATATCTGAAAGCTTAAAACTGTTATTACGGCCGGATTTGAACGTGTTCCCCAAGAAATCATAAAAAGATTACTGAAGTCATCTCTGCAAGAGGAGGCAACACTCGATACGATACAAAAAAAATATTGTTGGTTTTGTAAATATTGCTTGATAAAAGATAGTTCAATCGAGATTACTTTTTTGTTGGAACGAGTAAGAACAAAATAAGACTACGCACCGAAATGCTTTTAAACTTACCAAATAATTTTTATTTCATTTTGTTGCATTATCATTTTCTTACTTTAATATCTAACATACTCGAAAGACCTGTAAGCCCGCTTTTTTGGTAAGCAGTGTAGCATTATTTCCTTGCGTATTCGTTTGGATTTGGTTGCTCTCAGAACTATGAACCGCGACAAAATGTTATTTCATTTCATGCGGAGTATCGTCCGGGATGATAAGTTTGATTATGCCCTGTTTATACCTCCGTTTAGACTACTACTATGATTCCCGGGCCGGGGGAAATATATATATGGCCTACATTTATTTATCTCGTGAGTCTGAGTGTAATTTGTGCTTTTCTACGTGCGTTTGCATGGCATCCGTGACACAATACCGATAAAAGGTTTCCCTAGTGCGGGGCTATGAGTGTGTGCGTTAATTATTATTTAAAAAAAAAGTCCGTCGACAGACCTCAAATATTTATGTTATATTACTCACCAAAGAGCAATAATCGCAATCTTCTCTGACAACCTTTGTTTACTAGACCAGTTTGTCCACTAAACGTGACATATTTCAATGATAGTGCTCATTTACCATGTGTACTTTGTTTTAAATTGCAGGGCGCCATGTACGCGTTCCCGCGATTCGAAATACCGAAAAAGGCGATCGAGGAAGCAAAAAAGCAAAACAAAGCCGCGGATGTGTTTTACGCCTTCAAACTATTAGAGGAGACCGGTTGGTGGTTAATTTTCATTCATTACATGGAGGTGTTCGACGCGCGACTTACACGCGCTTAGCGCCGGCTGTTTGACCGCTGTTTCGTAAATTGCCGTAGCGACACAGTGTAATCGGTTAGAGTCTAACTTACGGTAGCGAGCAGTGACTGACGCATTCGAACGCCATTCGCGGCGATTAGCGGTCACAAACTACGGTAGGTTCAGCAGTAGGCTACTGGTCAATTAATAAAGCGGTCCAGTAGCACAATCACTAATGCTATATGTTGTATCGTTGTGCGTTATGTATGATGATTACGTTGCACAGGCATCTGCGTCGTGGCGGGCTCCGGTTTCGGCCAGAAGCCGGGTACATATCATTTTCGCACTACCATCTTGCCGCAGCCCAAACTGCTCAAGGAGATGCTCGACATTTTCAAGAATTTCCAGGAGAAGTTCTTAAAAGAGTTCTCGTAGCACTGCGCACTCGCAGATTCCCGATCAGCCTGACAGAGGTACAGACACGTCGGTCGACGGAGATGGCCGGTTTGTATGAACAAAAAGAGCATGTTTTTGCATAAGCTAACTGAGAATAGTGAACTAAACTAATAGTGGCCGAGTAGAATTAACAGTTACAATAAAGTGGGACAATGGTCCTACTTTGTTGTAGTTCAAGTTTCTTTTTTAATATTTACCATAGCCATTTTGTAATCTGTTGGTACTGTTGCATTTTTTTAAAAATTTTTCTAGGAATATAATTATTATAAAATAAGTTTTACAAAAAAAATATTATTTTGCTAATTCATCTTTGTCATCAGATAATGAAAGTTAACTTATTAAACTTAAAAATTAAAAAAAAAGCTAAATTATTTTTTGGAAACAAGTGATATACTATTGTGTCCTATAAACACTTCAGTTTAAGAATGGATTTGTCACATGCCGTCCCTCGAAAGGTCTCAATACATACATATATACATTAAGGTTTTTAAAATTTTATAACAACATTGTAATTATGCAAGGCAATAAAAGTTTCCACCAGAACTCGTCGTTTTAATAATCGAGTGTATGTTCGTGAATAGCGCCATCCTACGGTCGCATGGCGTACTGCGAGCAAAGCCTCTTCGACTCGGAGCGGCCGTCCCGACCACGTCCCGACTCCCTGCTTCTGCCCCGGCTTCTGCTCTAATGGCAACGTGCACAAAGTGAAGGGTAGATGGAGTCAGTACGCTCGGTGGAGTCGCGGACTGTTCTTCGTAGACTGCGTTTCGTGCAAAAGAATATTTGTTCGGCAACGCTCGGTCTGCGCTCGAATGTTTAGTAAATAATATATCCAAATATCAATAAGAAAGATAAGTATATCTGACAACACTACGTATATTATAATGAAATGGTACTTTACCGTTATCGATACATACACAATACAATATTTACTTATCAATGTATTCTAATTGGGACAGCACCACGGCGCGCTGATAGCGGGATTTTACTTTTTCTTAAGTCGATTTTGTTAGTACATAGAGACTATGACCTGTGGTGGTGGGTGTGAGAGGCGAGAAAATGCTGCAAACGCGGGACTAGGGATTCACCGACGTCGCGCCGGGGACGATCAAATAATTATACAGCATGTAGATTAAGTGGAAATAGTATATACTTATGAAGAACCGTCTATCTTAATTTATTATTTAAATAATAAAATAAATTAAATAAAATAAATTTTGACGCAAATTATTATTAAACATAAAGACTCTGACATGCCGATTTTCAGTCGAATTAGAGAAAATTTTCAACTGCCGCTAAAAAAGTTTGTATGGCAGCCATATTAAAAAAGGCGAAAAATATATTTTGACCGCTTATTATTATTATACACTTATAGAGACCCTCACATGCCGGTTTTCAGTTGAATTAGAGCAAATTTTTATAAACGCTTGCAGGTCGTTGATCACTCTTTCATATTTTCCACATTCAGGTCATTTGATTCTTTGCTTCGGAACCTAACCGCGTACAACGGTATAAATATCTTTTTTCCACCGTATCGGGAAGTATGCGTTCTATGTCTATCATTGAATAAGAACTTATAGTTTTATATAATATATATATAATCGCATATTTATATATATATATATATATATATATATAAATATGCGATTATTTCCTACAACAAGGCGTATCCATATTTAATTTGACACAGTTAACAGACTTGCATGAATGTTTAGTATTTTACGCCAAGTTACTGTGGTCACTTCAGTTTACGATCCGATAATTTCCAGGACGGTGTTATTGCGCTACACGTTCTCTTCAGCGGCAACAAGATTCTTTACAAAGTTTAAAATCGCATCGAACATATTAGCTCTGACGGTGGTCAACGCAATAGATCTCGGATTATTCCGATCGGATATGTCACTCATCTTCAAACAGTTCTCAAACCAGTACCACTACAGTCCGCAACAATTCAGATGGAATATAAGAATAGGTACAGATAAATGAAATCCACCATAAACACAGGTGCTCGACATTAAGGACGTCTTGTCCAGGCGAATTATCACTTTTCACATCATGTAGAACCGATGCTACTTCTTTATCGTTAACTCAAAGTTGCCAAAGGCTGGCTAGTATTTGGCTTATCATCGAATCCCTCGGGAGACTTGACCTCAATAATATTATTTCCTAAACGTGTTAGCAATTTCTATCGATAGGAAATGAAACTATTTTTCCGGATTTAAATCGCGTATATTTGTTTTTTCAATTAAACCGACGTTTCGGGCCCTTTACAGGTCAACCGTGACCATGGGACCATGGGATATGTGTAACAATCGCGAAAACCTAAGAACTCGAATTTCTATCGAGTCACTCTAGCGACGGCCTAGTATTCAATTTTTGTCGACTTGTGGAATTTGTATAATTTTGGTTTGTTTGACGTTACGACTGTGTATCATTACTAACACCATTTTAACTTAGGAAATGAAACTATTTTTCCGGATTTAAATCGCGTATATTTCTTTTTTCAAACAATCTCTCAACCGTGACCATGAGACCTGTAAAGGGCCCGAAACGTCGGTTTGTTTGAAAAAACAAATATACGTGATTTAAATCCGGAAAAATAGTTTCGTTTCCTATGTGTAACAATCGCGAAAATCTAAGAACCATTTTAACTTACCTTTAAAAATTACTCCCATGTTTAGGTTTCCCATGTAATAATTGAAATTTCGATCAGCCGCTTGTGAGTATTGCGCGGTGCTGCGCAGTGCGCCCATAGTGCACCCCAACTCTTTCAGTTCTGACAGATCTATCGCCTAACTCAATTGCCGCGCCGCACAGAGCGGACACAATGCCGTTGTACAACCGAGCAATAAGGAGCCCATTTCTGAAATAGTACAAAAATCTTTCCAATAGCATTGGAATTGAGTCGGGAACTGATGTTAAGTTTTACAAAATACAGCATATTTTTCAACATGACCGGAAGCGTTATTTCCAAATCATTATTAAAAGAATTAAGGACGGGTACTTTTATTTTTCCAAATTCAAATCGCAAAAGGAAAATGATCAGAACAGACTCTTATGTATACTTGATGTGAACATTAATAATAAGAACAAGAATACTTTATTGCGTAAGCACCGAGACACACGTGATCTTAAAATTAAAATACAATATTATAAACTTTAAACTAAAATACAGTACTTATAACAAAATTAAAACATAATTATAGTGATTAAAAAATGTAATAATAAATGCGCGTCGCGGCGCACGCAAACGGGATTTGCTCAGCTTTTAGCTACAGGCTGATAGATTTTCAGCCTGTAGCGCTGGTCTTCAGGAAGCTCTATGCGAATGAAGCACGAACTCGAGCGCAAACAACACAAATCCATGCACAACATGTGTGTGAAACTTGGTATATACTAAAATACAATACACTAAACATATCATACGAATAGATAAGATAAATAAAACAGCATAAGTGTAAACTAATTTAATTACTTAATTATTAGATATATACATATGTTATATTATATTATGATTAGAATTAGAATTTCCAAGTCGCTTTAGTTACAATGCAACGATTTATCAAGCTACTGTTATGCGTTTCACTAATAAAGATGTAAGTGTCAGACGAAATGAATAATTCATGCGGATATGTATTAAAACTTCTCACATGAAAACCGATTTAACATTGTTGTCTTCAAAGATTGCACTAATTTCACTTAAACAGTAAAAGTGTGCAAATGATCGTTGCTATTAGTAGACATTTATTCACTAAAACCATAAGTTAATAATTATCCATCGTTATTTTAATCGCAGCAACACGACAATTGTCGCACGATATTATTGAAACACTCGGAAATATTTTTGCGCCACCTTATCGCCTCTCCATATCATATGCTGTCACCAAGTGTTATAAATAGAAAATAAATTTATTGAGCAAAATAAGCTAATAGAATTAAAAAAATAAAAATGGGTCACGATGACATGATAGACCTACGGATTATCAAACTCCATCTATGAAACCTAATTCTGGACTATGAATGTCTTATGCAATACGCAGTCAAATGACTTGCCTTGGCCATTCTTATTAATTAAATTATTAAGAGCAGAGGAGGCCCCGTTTGAAAGCTTCTTTTTAATATTAACAAATCTCCCGAATACAATTCCTTTACGCCACATAGAGTCATCAAAAAATATGTGAACTTTATGGTTCTATACATACCTACATATAGTTTGTAAGCATAGTAACTTTTTACGATGCCAGAACAAAGTTTGATAAGTGACTGTCGCTCGCGTTTTTATGCACACGTAACAGATTTAAAACACAAATCAGTGTATTCCTTTTCCCAACTTGCCAGAAAAATGATTTTGATGATGTAACATTCTCGTGATTGTTGTCCATTTCTCTAGTTTTTTTTCGTTTCCGTAGTTGCGAAAAATATCAGCGTGGGAAAAGTCTTCCTTTAATTTATTGTCGTTCAGAGACCTTTAAACATTACATTGGTCTCCGCAGGCGTAATGCAGTCTTTCAGTTGGTTCGGTCGCTACAGAAGCAGGCAACTCGCCAGGTAGTTCGTAATCAGTAGTCGTTGTTTGTGACGTCGTCGAAACAGTAGTGTTTATGATAATTAGGCATTTCCTAATGTTTTCCAAATGAGTCTGGTGGCTCAATGTCAATTAGGTACAGTTAGGTTGTGCATTATGTAGAAAAGGTGGTCATCCTATTACACGTACTCTCTTTGAAATAAACACGCACCTCTCTTGGGATTCACTTGGGGGTCGCAAGTTATTCACAACCGGCGTGGTCACGAGGTTGTTTCTTCTTCAAATGATTAAATTTAAATATCCCCTTGATATAAACTTAATGACATTGTCGCATGTTTTAGCAAGAGTCAAATAAAAGAATAACAATAAACGAATAATCCTGTCTGTCTGATAATCTGAATTGTCTATGAATCGAAAAGGACTACTCTTGGTAGTTTCGCAATTGCAGTAACCGATTTATTTTAATAAAAACGTATAATTTTCCTTAAAAATGTCACACTATAAGTAATATAGAGTAGGTAGATACCTACCTACATAATACGCAGCCTCACTCGTTATATATTCGCGCGCATCGCAGCGCGAATATATAACGAGTGAGGCTGCGCCCGATCACCATCTCACGCGTTGCGTTCTACAAGTCGGTCACCTTAATTGTTGTTTTTGTTGTGTGTTGTTTTGTATTTAACGTTCTAACTAACAAAACATTTTTGTTATTTTTAACTAGAGTTAAAAAGTATAGGATTGATTTCAAAATAAGGGTTCTCCTGAATCTCACAAGCAACGACGGTTAGAACCTCAACACCTTGATAATAATTATC